TTTGTGAATCGAAGATTTGTTAATTTTTCTTTTATATGTTTTAATTTTTGAATTATTTAATGAGAAAGAGTTTTGTGTAAGTGAGAAGAATATTGGAAAGTGCTCTGATATATCAATTTTAAATATTCCTGTTTTTAAAGATATGTCTAATAATGAGTTGGTCAGTATATTATCTATGGCTGTAATTGAGGTTGAAGTGACTCTGCTGGGTTTATTAATTAATGAGAATATACCGAGCTGAAACAAATTATCAAAGAAAACTTTACTGTTATTGTTTTCATTGTATTTTAAATAATCTATGTTCATGTCTCCTATGCAAAATATTTTTTTTTTTCATTGTTGAGTTTAATAAAGATTTGGTTCAGATAGTTAGCAAATTGGATAATATTGCCATCCGGTGGCCTGTAACAAGTAGTTACTAGAATGTTTTTTTTTTTTATTGATTATTTCTATGGTGAAGGCCTCATTGTCGGCATCGGAGAACGAGAGGTCGTTTCTAATTTTTTTTTCAAGATCATTCCGAATATAAACTAAAATTCCTCCTCCTCTATTGGGTATTTTCCTTTCAAAAGAAATCATGTGGTAGTTAGTAATTTGAACGTTTGAATTTGCTTTAGAAAATTCGTCAGTACACCATGTTTCTGTAATACAAATCATGCTGAATGAAAAATTACATTCTAAAAGAAAACTTTTCAATTTGTCGATATTTGAGATAATACTTCTTATGTTTATGTGAATAACTGTTAAATCTTCATTACCTTGTTTGAATTGGGATTTAAAAGTATCAATTTCAAAATATTCTGTATTACAACATTTTTCGTTGAATATTTTTTTATCTGCGTGATAAAAATCATTAGGTAAAATATTATTTGCGGTTTTAAAATAATCGGAGTAATGGGTTTCAAACTCTATTGTTTCGATTGCCATTTTGTCGGTTTACATAATTTAATTACAAAGATTGCGGTTTGTTTGTTTTTTTATTTTATTTTTTTGCAAACACTCTTCTATTTACGAAATTCTCTGACAAATATTTTATCTTATTTGATAATAGCGTATTTGCCTTCTTTGCGTAGCCGTTTGACTTCTTCTCAAAGCTTTTTTCTAATCTCCATTGTTTCATTCGAGAAGTCTTCGTTAATGTGAATACCCGTTCCCTTGAGTTTTTTTGCTGATGTTATTATTTTATTTTTATTTTGAAAGTCTAATAATTTAATAGTCATGGTTCGTGGAGATCTTCTTTTATTTTCCCGATACGATAAGCTCTTTCAACTATTATTTCCTCGGAGATTTCCAGCTTGTTTATAAATATATTTTTAAGCTCAATTGCACGATCATTCCAAGTTTCAGTGGACAGCTCAGTTAATCCATCAATTCTTAGGTTATTCTGTCGTGAACGTTTTTCCAAGTAATTAAATTTGTTTTTTAAATTGCCAATTTCGATGTCTAACAAACTGTTTGCTTGTAATATTTTATTTAAAAAGTTTTCTTCCTGAAAATTAATACTTTCCTTTAAATCACTGATGTATTTTTCAACAATTACAAGTTTCGATTTGTTTTTATTAAACTCGTTTTCAAGTTTGTCAAGTCGATCGGTTATAAAAATAAAATATTTTTAAGTTCGCACTTAAAATATCGGTAAATATCTTTTCCTGATATTTTAAAAGTATAGCAGTTTCAATTAAAATGCTTTTTTTTTGCTCATCAAGTTTGGTGTTTATTAGTTTTTCTATATTTTTCATCATAACTTCCATTTGTAAATAACTAATCGCTCGATAAACACGTCTTGCTCGTTCAATGCCGCAAGTCCCAAATTTACATTATATTTGATATTATTATATTAGGGATTGACCGGAACTAAATATTTTTCGGAACGGGAATTGAACCATAAATACATCCTTAATATATATATAACCATAACGAGAACCAAAACGGGAAACTCTAGCCGAATACGCTATTATATCAAATATAGGATAATAATCACCAAATACGCTTTGATGTTAAACACAAGATAAGATAAGATTAAATATATTTAGTATTATAGCGTAAGTACCATTTTATTATTATATTTTATGTTATATATAAACTTTGATATAATATATCAAAGTTATAACATATAACATATATTATATTTTTACAGCCGTGGCGCAGTGGTTAGAGTTCTAGCTCAGAACCGGCGTCGAACCCAGAGGTTCTGGGTTTGACGCCGGCTCTAGCCCAACAAGTGACCTTAGTACGGAAGGAGGCATGAACTTCTAGTTAAATGTGCTCTGTGACAAGACCGTAAGGACTTCTTGGAGCACCAAAATAACAACAAAAAATAAACATATTTAAACTATTTTGTGTTAATTGATATCGCATCCGATATGCTTTATGAAATATATTTGCAATTTGAATGGGAATTCAGACCAAAACCGAAAATATAAATCTAACCGGAATCCGGTCGATCACTTTAAGACATAATGTTTTACATAAAAAAGTGCAACAAAAATAATTTTCTTGTACCAAAATCTACAAAAATATCTGATTTTTGGAACTGTAGTTACAAAATTTTCGGCGAGTGGGCGACCCCATCTCAAACCCTCCCCTAAGTAAACCATCAATTATTGCCCTCCACCACTGAATCATGTATCCATCCCCGGTTGGTTAAACCTATAGTTTACTGTATAAAATCAAATTCAAAAAGTTATATCAATGATCCAAATAAACAACTGGAATTGATAAGATCATGTTGTAACTTAAAATCAGAGATGTAGCCAAGACAGTAAAGTCCAAAACCGAGACTGAGATCAAGATATTTGGTCTCAAGCCACCCTTTGTGTTGATATTTTTTTTAAAGATCAAGATAGTAAAAAACAAGACAGCAAAATTACGAGACCAAAATCATGACTCTAAGCTATGAAGACCAAAACAAAAACTGCAAACTTTAAGACCAAGACCAAGACTCTAGGCTTTAAAACCAAAAATACACCGTTAAATCGAGACTTTCTGAGATAAAAACTCGAGATTTACATTTCTGCTTAAAATTGAAAAGGTATTTTGAAAAACAGACAATTTCTTTACGAGTAGGCTAATACCTCATTGAAATGGATATTTACAACCAAGACTGTCTTTATCAATATCCAGCGTAGGCAGCCGCTACGGAGCAAGGCCTTTGAAGAGGCAAGCTGGCAAGGTATCACATTATTTTAATCAATTGAAAAAAAGAAAGAACCATAAAAAATCATAATATATCCTTTTGATTCTATTATTATAACTTGAGTCATTGATGGTGAAACCATCAATGACTCAAGTTATAGAAACACCATAAGTCATTGGATAACTATTTATATTATTAGAGAAATTAGTGTCTTTAAGAAGATATCTTAAAGATACTGATTTCTCTGATAATATAGATAGTTATCCAAGTGTTACATATCCGGATATTGTTAACTATTTTTTATTTGCTCCAAGTCCTCTTACTAAGGATCAGTTAAAAGCATACAAAGCTCTTGACAATAACAACAACAACAATAACAACAATAACAACAACAATAACAATATATATATTCTGAAATAAATGTTTTTACATTTCATGGTAATTTACAAATAGTACAAGTACTAATCGACGGTAAACACCAATTAAATAATAATAACAATTATATTATAAAATTAAAGTAAATATAACGAGGACAATTATAATAACAATAATAACAGTAATAATAATATTGACAAATATCACGGAAAAATATTTAAAAAAAAAAAAAAATAATAATAATAATTAATAATGATAGTAATAAAAATGTAAATATACTAATATCAGATATAATAATACTAAGAAAAATATATATAAATATATAATAATATTAATTTAAATATATAATTATAATATAGCAGTAGCAATAATAATCTGTGGTGAGCCTAAGATTTTAGTTGAAGTACTTTTCTAATAAATAGTCAAAAAGGCAGTTTTTAAATTGTGAAATTGAGTTGAGGGATTGAAGATGAAGAGGTAATTTATTCCACGATTTTATGCACTGGTTTGTGATAGAATTATCACCGTATTTTACTGAACAACGATTTGGGATGGGTAATTTAAAGTTGCTAAAAGATCAAAGATAGTAACGATAACTTTTTTTAGTGGTGAAAAAATTGGAGAATGGCGAAGGGAGGTTTACGTGTTTATGATTCCAGACAAATATGCAATTTAATAGATAAACAAGATCACACAGATCACCCAACCACCAATCAGTTTGATTATGCAAATATGTTACCCCATTCAAGCACGTTTTTGCACAGCAGCAACAAAATGGGGAAATGACCATAAAAAAAAAGCATTGACTTTGTATTCCACAACAATGGAAAAGAAACACTCTAAATTTTCAATAAAAAAATTGTGGGTTTTTAATTTCAGTTCAACATCCCTTCCTTGGTGCATCACCAGATGCAGTTATTAATTGTGATTGTTGTGGAAATGGTTGTCTGGAGATAAATATGTCCATATATTGCGAGAGATAAATACATTAGTGAATTATTGGATTTTAAAAATTGTTGTCTGGAATATAAAGCTGGTTATATATCTCTCAAAAAATCACATAAATATTATTATCAAGTTCAGTGTCAGTTTAATGCTTCATCAAGTAACTACTGTGATTTTTTTATTTGGTTATCAAAAGATTCGTATTGCAAAAGAATATTGCCGGATTTGGAATTTATGGACAGGAATATAATAAAATCTAAACAATTTTTTGAAGAATGTATTTTACCTGAACTAATTAACAAATTTTACAGCCAAAAAAATAAATTAATGAAAGAAATATCAGATAAAAATAAATTTATACTAATAGAACACAGCTACTTTAAAAAAGAAAACAAAGTTTTTAATGATCACGATTATTGTATAAAATTGAAATAAAATTGTAGACTTTTAATAAAAACATTTGATACTTAATTTGATAATATTTATTTTTGTTTATAAATTCTAGTTTCACTTAATTATTCAATCCTGTTAAATTTTTCAAAAACTATTCCACAGGAATAATTGAATCACATATATTTATCAAAGAAGAACAAACAATAACAATTTTGTCTATTGTGCATAATCCAGAATCTTTAGTATATAAGTAATCTAATGGCATAATACTTTGCAGAACTTTATATTTGTTACGTAACAATCCAATAACTCTCTCAACGTGTACTCGAACAGAGGCAATTTTCCGGGTTGTTTCTACATCTGAACAAGTTAATTTTAACTTTCCTTTCGTAAATCCTGGAATCTTTAGCTCCCCACAATAAAAGCCAACACTCTCAGCATTGTTAAAACCTCTATCAGCTAAAATAACATCTCCAGGAAGAATGTTTTTTAAAATTGAACAATGCTCTGTTAGGTATTTATCGCTAACACGTCCTCCTCAAGCTTTAGAAACAAATGTTATCACACCTTGTGGGCTTACACCTAATAAGAATTTAACAGTATTGTGATGTTTGTACTGTGACCAAGTTGCTGCTCTTGCGCATAAATTAGATGGTTTATTTATGAATATTTCAAAGCAATCAATTATCACAGCCACTTTTGTTTCAAAATATTTTCCGAAGCATAAAGGCATAGTTTCTATAAGCTCATTGCGAGCAGGCCATTTAATTAAATGTTTCATTCTAAAGTACATAATGTCAATCCATCTTAAAAATACTTTTGATGAAGTCGATTTTGAAACTTCAAATTTGTAAGCAAGGTCTCTAATAGATAGATTTAAACGCAATCTCATAAGCGTCAACGAAAATTCTTCAAAGTACGATAAAACAGAGTTCTCATTTTTAGTTATATTAGGCTTTAAAAAGTTAAATAAACAACATAAAATTTTCAAATTTGGCAACCCAGTGTAAAATGTTACTTTTGAATCTGTATTAAACCATTCAATAGTTCCCACGTGGAGTTTGACTAAATTTACACGCAAATCGTAATTAAGTTTGTTTTTGTATATAAACTCAGTTTCTATTTGATTGATATTTTTGACAGTAATATCTGTTTGAACACTCACATCTACCAAGTTTTCGTAATCTATTGTAACACTTTCTGAGACATTTGATTCACTACTTTTAAAATTCTCTTTTTGAAAATCTACAATTGAATCATCAGAAGGGTTTAAATTAGTGATGCTGTTTCTACAAGAATTAGAATCATTTTGACTTGTTAACAATGAACGATTTTTGTGTCGTAAGTATCTTTCTCTAGGTTTCTCAACGTCAAATTTAAACTTTTTGTGTCCCAGATTTAAGGATGGAACCCAATCAGGATCATTCTGTGAGAAAAGAGAAGCAGGTTTTCCTAAATAAAAATATGAAAATGTTAAACAGTTAATGATATTAAACTTTTAAAGTAATAAAAATGTTTCAAAGGTGAAAAGGCTTTTTTTACCTGTAATAAAATGATCACTGCAAATTCGAGTGTAGAGGACATCAGGATAGTTACCAACTCTGTTTATGGCATTTATCCATTTTTCTCTACGTTCCTTTGATAAAATCTTACCATCATCGCCTTGATTGCAAACTAATTTTGTTAAACGAAAAAAAGATTTACCCTTTTCACGATTTGAACATCCAAACACAGCACAAAATTTGACCATATTATAATTTTTTTTTCTATTACAATATTTGCATATTTATATATTAAACTCAAAGTTAAAATTAAAAAAAATGATAATAAAAATGATAAATAAATCAGATTAGGATTTATATTTTCTTATTTTAGTTATCAATACATTAAATTTTGTAAAATAATATTCTTTTTGAAAAAACTATGAATATAATAATTAACTTATTAGTTCCGCTAATTTAGTTGTCCTCCATATGGCAGAATTGAAATCAAAACAACTGTTAATTATTTTGTGACGTCGAGCTAGGAACGGTGAATTAAAGCATATATATTTTTATATATGTTCTATTTACGCAATTATTAAGCAGTAGACCGTGCTGTAATTTTTTATGCATTATCGTTTGTTAACGAAAGTGTTGCTAAATGTTAAAAATATATTTCACAAGAATTACGATGGTAAGTCTTGAAAATTATATAAACATCTTTAACATTCTGTTGAACTTACATTAGTATTTACATTATTTATATTAAGTAAGTCTAGAAAATAATATTAGCATATATAACATAAGGGTGTATACGAATACTACAACGGACCACACCGGACCACGCCGGACCACACCGGACCACAAACGGACTGCAACGGACCACAATGAACTATGCAGAAGTCTTAAAAATCATTTTTGTTTATTTCGCGAAAGTCATATGTGCAATAAATAGTCACGTGTGCAAATGGCTGTAAAAAACCATTTTTATGTAATAATATAGTTTGAAATACTAATGATTTTTCTCAAAAAAGTAATTTTGATTTTTTTTTAACGAAAAATAAAAAAACTTGGAGTGTAAACCACAAAACCTATAACCATAACTGTGGGAGTCAGCAACTATTTTTTCTTTAAGTAGCTTATTATTTTATAAAATAGATAATATTTTGAATCAAAAAATAAATTTAAAGCCAATTGATCTTGCTTGTAATGTTACCAATAACGTATTGGGACGCCTAATAAGTTATCTACTTACGTTTTTAACAACGAGGTTTTTATCACTTTATGCCAAACTATTATAATTGTGTTGATAGTTTGGCGTTAAGTTTAGACAGACATGCTATAAAATTACACCAATTAAAAAATTGCTTAAGAAAACTTTACATAAGTGCATATGTGTACTTACAAATCAAATATTATTTAATGATAGTTTAAGCCGGCGCAGCACAGTTTTTCTAACTTTATCTTAAATACGAGTATATTGGCATTGCTTTATTCAAAAAAGTACTGTTATATCAAGATTGTAAGATTAAAACTTTCATATTTTTATCTTTTATTGTTCATTATGGTAAACGTTAATCAAGTCTTGACCTTTTGACAAAGCGATTGATAATTTTTACTGTTCGAGAGCACAATGTAGTGCGCTATGAAACCAAATATGAATCAAGATTTTTAAACTTTTTTTATTTCAGATGATTACTATAAATTAGTTTGATATAAACTGGTATTTTCATACTCTTTTATTCAACAGTTCAAATGCCAGCAAAATGCATCAAATTTCCGTGTGCCGTTTGCGAAAAAACCTGTCGTACAAACAACATACAATGTGAGAAAGGATGTGGATTATGGATTCATCAAAAATGCGTCCCATTGTCAGATGTTGAATTTAGAAAATTTAGGAAAAGTAATTTCTACTTTGTTTGTCCAAAGTGTGTATGGACAACTGACAAACAAACTAACAAAATACAGTTCAACTTTATTGCCAGCTTAAATAGGTAAGATATGTCTAACAAATTAGTACAGTTATATTTTGTTGCATATGCATAACAAGCCTGGGCTTTAAGTTTAACTTACGTGAAAGTAACCTTACACGTTTTAGAAACTTTAAGAATTTTAATAAGTTTATAACATAGCTAACAACAACCTAGATCATGGTTGAGGTCAGTAAAGACCAAAACACGCCGTGCTAAATGTTTAATAAGCTAGTAATTTAAGGGAGAGTAAAAGTAACATATTTCATTTTAAAATAAAATCTTAGCTGTCTGAATCTTTAACTTCTTTTTTTTCAATAAATACAATATACACGATTTAATTTACAGAGTTCAAGAATCTCCAACTTTCGATTACAGCATTTCAGAACGTGGTTTCCTACAATTCTACTCTGCTGAACCAATTTCATTAAACAAATCACAAACTATGCTGGGTGTTGAAGATGCTATATCGGTAAATATTATTAGACGATTTCATGGCCTTATGCTTAGCAGTATGTCTCCTCGTGCTGTGGCTGCAGATGGTAACTGTTTATATCGAGCTGCATCATTAGCTTTATTTGGAACACAAGAGTACCATGTTTATTTGGGTTTAATCTCTGTAATGGAGTTACTCGAAAACAGAGGATTTTTTATCGTAAAAACGATAAAAAATTATCTTCTATTATGTCAGAGCTACTTGAAATTCCGTTGACAAACTACGAAACCATTGTAAACGACGCGGTGAATTTAGGAACCACGTCTTCTATGGTTCATATCTATGCACTAAGTGCTGCAACCGGTATCATCATACAGTCTTATATGCCTCCAACATGCGCAATAGAGATTCGAAATCCGTACACTCGCTTAGTTGTTGGCTGTAATGTTTTAAATGCTGGAAAAGATGGTTTTACTTTGATGTGGACTCAGTGTTCAGAACCGGGGCTCCCCGAGGACTTTAAACCAAACCACTTTGTTTATCTAGCTCCAACTACGCTATCAAATACTGTTGAAGAGCGGTTTGTACTTTTTTTAGTTGAACTGTATTAAAATTTCAAAATATTAACAACTTTTAATTTTTTTACAAATTCATTTAATAAATTTTTTGAGAATGTAATTTTTTGATAAACTCTTTTTTTTATTATATGGTTAATAAAATTTAAAGTTGTAACTTAAATGTTTAAAGAATGTCTTGCCAAATTGAAAATACATCACTTCAAATAGTTTCTGATACTGGGTCTGAATTACACACTGAATCTGATTCTGAGGCAGAAGAAGAAAACATCAACCAATCTTCAAAAACTTCAATAACACCAGACATTCAACTAACATCGCAATCTGTCAAAGCAACGACTGTTCTTTATCCTTTGTCAAAAAAAAGTTTTCTCGATACTCGTACAATTTTAGAACTACTACATGACCAATGGGACAAAGTTACCGTAGTTGATTGCATACCACATGGAAAAAAAAGAAAATGTGTGTTGTCTAATTCGTAGAAATTTTGCGATGGTAGGTTGTAGTGATATTTCATACAACGTAGTTGATGACGATTGCGGTATCTGGAACTCTAAACAATATAGAACAAACAAGTGCTCATACGTTATTTCCGATGGCTTTGTTGGCAGACGATTGTTTTTGCAAGCTGGAGAGTATTGCAAAGAAGTATTATCTAAAGGAAAACGACATTACATTCATTTCAACCCGCAACCTGAAGCGGAGAACGTTATTACTATAGTACGGACTTATTGCACATTAGCTGCTAGTGATGACTATAAAAGACGAGTGACATATTTGAACAAGAGCAATCAAACAGATTGTACTTTAGCTGTAGTAGAATATATTGGTGAATACGTTACCGGACAAAAGCATGGGAATACAAAAATCCAAACGCTGGTCCATACGTCCGAACACCAGCACCTACATCAGTTTCTTATAAGTAATATGCTAAAAACTAAACCTGTCCATGAAGTATACAATAATCTTAAATCTTCACTCAGTATAGAGGATGTTCCGCGGAACTCAAATGTAATTCGTCGTCAAAAGACGTCTAATAGTAAAAAAGAAAACAAATCAGGGCGTCAGTCAATGCACACTTTTGCTAACGAATATCAAGCCGTATTCAATATAATACAATCTAATAGTTTTGTAAGAAAATTTGATTGTGACAATCAACGCACCCCAAGCGTTATGAATTAATGGACATTTTTTTGCGCACCTTCGTAGCAACGTTGTTATTGGTCTTCCTAATTGGACAAACAATAATAGCGAAAGTATTAACCATGTGCTTAAAAGTTATACACAATGGAGAATTCAGCAGCTCCCAGATTTAGTTAAAAAGCTCAACTTATTAGTCGAAAGCCAACAAATTGAGGCAGATCGTTCTTTGTGTGGTCTTGGCGACATTGAACTAAAACCAGCTTACGCTAATCACAGAATAACTATTG